TCTCCTTGGCTCTTGCAGCAGCTGTGAAGTGCAGCGCAGCTCCTGCCCACCTTCCTGGGTGGACACGTCCTGCCCCTTGTCCCTTCTCCCCAGGGCGGTATGTTTTCAGCTTTGCTGATGGCAGAGAAGTCTTGATGATGTGCCACAGCAGCCATGGTAGACATAGATGGCTCACAAAGAAATGTGGCATAGGGATTTCTTGCTGTGCCACGCCTTGGTTTTGCTGACGTCCAAACAAGACCTCAGGAAACTCTCGTGCTTGTTTTTGAGGACCCAGATAGAGAACACTTTGGTTCTTCCCAGGAAAAAGGGGTGGAAGACACTGTAATGAGAAATTGTATTGAGAGGTGGCTCTCTCAGCTCAAATTCCTGACTTCAGAAGAAGCACTCCTGCAGCCTCAGGCAGCTCAATTCTCTCTTTTTCTCCGGCTGTTAATGGTGTTTTCTTTTTAAAGAGAAAGCAAAATGTGGTGGGACTGAGGCACAGCCATGTGAGGTCCTTTGAAGGAGGACTAGTGCGGGCTCCCGAAAGCAGCATGAACTGTCCTGAGCGAATCGTTCAACTTGAGGCTGTTTGCAAATGCTTTGGGCAAAGCCAGGCCTCACCTGAGCATCAGCACACCTCATGGAGCAGTGGTTTCCAGGGGAAACCAAAAGATGTGTCATAGCTTTTAGCCCCAGCTAGATAGGGCTGGGCAGCTTGTCCTGAATTTGCTTTTCTTTGAGACGCAATTTTTTATTTTTTATTAAACAAACCAGATGTGAGGCAGAACGTGACTCCTTCCTGTGCTGTCCAACACCGTGTCTGTCCGAGGCCGCTCTGTCTGCTCTGTGCTTTCACATCCCCTAGCTTTTCCCTCACGGAGCACTCTCTGGCAGAGGGATGGTGGGGCTTTTGGGATGAACAGTCGATCAGACTCGCGCTGCTGGATCTCCAGCTTTTTACTCCCTCGGTTTGGCTTTAATCCAGGCAACCAATCTAATCACCAAGAAGGAATTACTGACGACAGATCCTGACACAGTTGACAAACAGCTGATCTATGAGATAACAACTGGTCCCAGGAACGGTTATGTGGAGAACAAGCTGAAACCAGGGATGGCCGTGACCACTTTTACGCAGGGTATGGAAGTTGGGCTGTATACTGTTGCTTTGTTCCTTCAGCTGCTTCAGTTTGTCAAGATAGCTTGTGTAGGGGGGAAAGAAAAGGTGGGAGGGGAGAAGACAAGGAGCAAATCTCAGAGGCGTGTCAAAACTAAGAATTGAACTTTGCTCCCAATTGCAGAAATCCTGTAATTTCTTATAGATGCCACTATGTGCTGAGATGGAATATGTGCTGCCCAGGCAAATCAGTATTTCTTGCCTTTCATCAAAGCTGCTTTAAATTACCTTATTTTTCAGTATGAGCCATTATGGATAAAGCCTAGGCAAGGGAATGTCTTGTCACAGCTTGTAGGCTGGCTTCTACCACAGCTAAGACCAAGGAAGTTAGAAAAGCCGCAGCAGCATAAAGGGTGTGTGGAGAGCCTGAGCCCTGCGGCCGTGCAGATGCACGTCTCCGCACTGCTCATCTATAAAACTGCCATTGAATTTCTTGGTTGGCTCATTGGATGTCTCTTCCCACCAGAGGATGTGAACCAGGGCCTCATTCGGTACGTGGTGCACGAGGAGAAGGTTCAGGAGACCACAGACAGCTTTCAGTTCCTCGTGAAGGACAGCAAACCCAACGTGGTCAGTGGCAACATCTTTCATGTGCAGTGGTCCCTCCTCAGCTTTACATACAGCAGGTAAATGGCAATGGGGTTTACAGCATTCTTCTGACAGATGAGGTCTTCTCGGGAACGAGGCAGGTTGAGCTCTGTCATATGTCATTGGACCTACAGCACGGCAATGAACTTCTGGGGCAGTTACCATCATTTCTGCCTGTATTTCACTGGCACCCCGTCAGGACTGAGGTCTCACTGCTGTGCGCTGTAGCATCACACGTGGCATTCCT